CGTCCCGTGGCGAGTCCCCCTGGCACGTCGCGCGGTGCACGTCCATTGGCACGTTCCGTAGCGCGTCCCCTTGGCACGTCCCACGGTGCGTGCCCATGGCACGTCCCTTGGCACGTCGCCTGGCGCATCCCTTGGGACGTTCCGCGGCGCGTCCTCCTGGCATGTCCCCCTGTCGATTAGTTCTGGGGCAGCTACCATGTGCTCAGGCAGCTCGAGCTTAGGATCCAGATCGGTTCGGTCAGGACTCGGATGCAAAGAGGACTCGATCCAGAACGCTATATAGAGCACGATCGCGGCATGGCACATCGCAGTTCAGCACGGCGCAGCACACACCGTCGGCATAGTACATCAAGATCGATACACTCAACATTGCACCTTGGCACGTTCCTTGGCGCGTTCTGTGGCGAGTCCACCAGGCACGTCGCGTGGCGCGTCCCCTGGCACATTCCGTGGCACATTCATTGGCACATTCCGTAGCGCGTCCCCTTGGCACGTCCCGCGGTGCGTCCCCATGGCACGTCCCCTGGCACGTCGCCTGGCGCGTCCCTTGGGACGTTCCGCGGCGCGTCCTCAGGGCATGTCCCCCTGTCGATGAGTTCTGGGGCAGCTACCATGTGCTCAGGCAGCTCGAGCTTAAGATCCAGATCAGTTCGGGCAGGACTCGGATGCAAAGGAGGACTCGATCCACAACGCTATATAGAGCACAATCGCGGCATGGCACATCGCAGCTCAGTATGGCGTAGCACAGCACAGCCCTCGGCACAATACATCAAGATCGATACACTCACCATTGCATTTGTCCGTCGCCCAATCAAATGTCTTTGAAACGCTGCCGTGCCTTACATTTATAGATTCCTTTCCGGGTTCGTGGGTCGATCATGTTTTCGGAAAGGGCTCCAGCCCAGGGTTCTCTTTTAGCTGTTTACCCCCGGAATCGAAGGCTCTAGGGCCGGCCAAATTATTTGCGATAAGTAACGAGGTCGTCTAGGGCCGGCGAAATTATGTGTGAGGATGTCTCGAGCGAAACGCTTGTTTTTCAGAAATCGTTGAAGATGTCTCAAGCAAACCACTTGTTTTGTGTTATAGATTGTCCTCTCCTGGGGACCAGAATTCAGAGGATCTCTCAAGTGAAATGCTTGTTTTCACGTGCCCAGGTCTTGAGGATGTCTCGAGCGAGACGCTTGGTTTCACGCCTCCAGGTTGCCCAGACAGACGTCTAGCATGAGGATATGTTGATGATGTCTCGAACCATGGGCTTGTTATCACGGGTCCAGGCCGCCTAGGCGGATGTCTAGCATGAGGATGTGTCGAGAACGTCTTGAGCGAAACGCGTGTTTTCACGTGCCCAGGTCGCCCAAGCACAGCACAGCCCTCGGCACGGTACATCAATATCGATACCCTTAGCATTGCAGCCTGGCATGTTGCCTGGCACGTTCCGCGGAGCGTCCCGTGGCGAGTCCCCCTGGCACGTCGCGCGGTGCACGTCCATTGGCACGTTCCGTAGCGCGTCCCCTTGGCACGTCCCAAAGTGCGTGCCCATGGCACGTCCCTTGGCATGTCGCCTGGCGCGTCCCTTGGGACGCTCCGCGGCGCGTCCTCCTGGCATGTCCCCCTGTCGATTAGTTCTGGGGCAGCTACCATGTGCTCAGGCAGCTCGAGCTTAAGATCCAGATCAACTCGGTCAGGACTCGGATACAAAGTGGACTCGATCCACAACATTATATGAAGCACAAACGCGGCATGGCACATCGCAGTTCAGCAAGGCGGAGCACAGCAAAGCCGTCGGCACCGTACATCAAGATCGATACACTCAACATTGCACCTTGGCGCGTTCCGCGGCGCTTCCCGTGGCGAGTCCACCTGGCACGTCGCGCGGCGCGTCCCCCGGCACGTCCTGCGGCACGTCCATTGGCACGTTCCGTAGCGCGTCCCCTTGGCACGCCCCGCGGTGCGTCCCCATGGCACGTACCCTTGGCACGTCGCCTGGCGCGTCCCTTGGGACGTTCTGCGGCGCGTCCTCCTGGCATGTCCCCTCGGTCGATTCGTTCTGGGGCAAGTACCATTTGCTCAAGCAGCTCGAGCTTAAGATCCAGATCAGTTCGGGCAGGACTCGGATGCCAGGGAAGACTCGGTCCACAACGCTATGTATAGAGCACGATCGCGGCATGGCACATCGCAATTCAGCACGGCGCAGCACAGCGCAGCCCTCGGCGCGGTACGTCAAGATCGATGCAGTCAGCGTTGCAACTTGGCACGTTCCGTGGCGCGTCCCGTGGCGAGTCCCCCTGGCACGTCGCGCGGCGCTTCCCCCGGCACGTCCTGTGGCACGTCCATTGGCACGTTCCGTAGCGCGTCCCTTCGGCAGGTCCCGCGGTGCGTCCCCATGGCACGTCCCTTGGCACGTCGCTTGGCGCGTCCCTTGGGACGTTCTGCGGCGCGTCCTCCTAGCATGTCCCCCTGTCGATTAGTTCTGGGGCAGCTAAGTACCATCTGCTCAAGCAGCTCGAGCTTAAGATCGAGATCAGTTCGGTCAGGACTCGGATGCAGAGGACTCGATCCACAACGCTACAGAGCACAATCGCGGCATGGCGCATTGCAATTCAGCACGGCGCAGCACAGCCCAGCCCTCGGCACGGTACATCAAAATCGATACATTCAGCATTGCAACCTGGCACGTTCCTTGGCACGTTCCGTGGCGCGTCCCGTGGCGAGTCCTCCTGGCACGTCGCGCGGCGCGTCCCCTGGCACGTCCCGTGGCACGTCCATTGGCACGTTCCGTAGCGCGTCCCTGTGGTCCCGTGGTGCGCCCCCATGGCACGTCCCCTGGCACGTCGCCTGGCGCGTCCCTTGGGACGCTCCGCGGCGCGTCCTCCTAATTAGCATGCCCCCCTGTCAATTAGCTATTGGGCAGCTACTATGTGCCCAGGCGGCTCGAGCTTAAGATCCAGATCAGTTCGGGCAGGACTCGGATGCAAAGGAGGACTCGATCAACAACGCTATAGAGCACAATCGCGGCATGGCGCATTGCAATTCAGCACGGCGCAGCACCGCACAGCCCTCGGCACGGTACATTAAGATGGGTACATTCAGCATTGCATTTGCCCGTCTCCCAATCAGGTGTCTTGCCGCCATGCCTTACATTTCTATAGTCCTTTCCAGGTCTGTGGGTCGATCATGTTTCCCACAGCATGAATATCAGCATCACCATCACCATCACCATAATCATCCTCATCAGCATCATCAACATAATCAGCACCATCATCCCAATCACCATCAGCTTCATCATCGGCATCATCATCATCATCATCATCATCATCATCATCATCATCATCATCATCATCATGGGCATCACAAACATCAGCGTCAGCATCATCACCATCAGCATCAGCATCATCATCATCACCATCAACATCATCTTCATCAGCGACATCATCATGAACAGCATCAGCATCATCAGCACCAGCATCATCATCACCAGCATCAGTATCATCACCATCACCTTCACCATCAGCATCAGCATCATCGACATCAGCATCATCAGTATCATCAGCATCATCAGCACCATCATCATGATCATCAGCATCATCCTAATCATCAGCATCAGCACCAACATGTGTATTACCATGATCATCACCATCATCACCATCATTACCATCACCATCACCAACATCAGCATCATCAGCATCATCAGCACCACCGTCATCATTATCACCACCATCATCATCATCATGATCATCCCCAGAACCAGCATCATCATCATCAACATCACCATACGCATCGTCGCCAGCACCGTCATCATCGTCAGCATCATCAACATCAGCATTCCCATCATAATTCGCATCACCATCGCGGTCGCTACCCACAACATCGTCATCAGCATCATCATCATGAACACCATCGCCCATACCATCACCATCATCATCATCATCATCATCATCATCATCATCATCATCATCATCATCATCAGCATCAACATTAGCATCATCATCACCATCACTATCACCATCGTCATCGTCACCATCACCATCAGCATCAGCATCATCAGCACCATCAGCATCATCACCACCACCATCATCATCACCATCATCAGCAGCATCAGCACCATCATCATCAGCAGCACCATTATCAACATCATCGTCATCAGCATCATCGCCATCAGCATCACCATCATTATCATGAACATCGTCAGTATGAGGATCAGCATCATAGCTTCAGCATAATCAGCATCAACATCATCACCATCACCATCATCATCATCATCATCATCGACATCAACATCATCATGAACAGCATCATCAGCATCAGCGTCATCAGCATCTCATAATCACCATCACTATATGCATCATCATCGTCAGCATCATCAGCTTCAGCCTCATCAGCATCAGCATCATCACCATCAACATCATCATCATCGCCAGCATCATCATCAGCACCATGAGCATCAGCATGATCATCAGCATCAGCATCAGCATCATCATCCTCATCGTCATTATTATCATCATCAGCAGCATGAGCATCATCATCACCATCAGCATCATCAGCATCATCATTACCATCACCATCACCATCAACACCAGCATCATCATCATCGTCATCATCATCAGCATCATCATCGTCATCATCATCAACATCATCCGCATCATCATCACCATCATCGTCATCAACATCACCAGCATCACCATCGTCATCAGCATCATCAGCATCATCAGCATCATCAGTATCATCAGCATCGTCATCAGCATCAGCATCAGCATCAGCATCAGCATCATCATCATCATCATCATCATCATCATCATCATCATCATCAGCATCAGCATCAGCATCAGCATCATCATCATCATCATCATCATCATCATCATCATCATCATCATCGTCATCCACATCTGCATCCCTCCTCGTCATCCTTCTGGCCCTCGGTGACGACGGCGACGACGGCGAGCGCGCGAGCGCTGGCGCGCGAGGGCCAGCGGGTGGCCACGCAAGGGGCCAGGCAATTTTTTTGCGCGTGGCGCGCCGCCTCAGCGCGGCGGCGGCGAATTCGCAGCGGGGCGCTGGCGGAGGATCGAGGAGCCCTGAGCTCCGACGACACGATGTTTCAATCCCAGCGCTTTTCCTCGATTTCGGCCTATGGGGAGAGAGGCAGGAGGAGGGAGGAGGTACTCTGAACTCTACCCGACCGTGGTGTCACCCGCATCGCTGCGACCAGAAACGTCGTTTTGAAGGGGAAACGTCGTTTTGAAGGGGTGGAACCTGTGATCAGACCCAGGAACAATCAAACATGGATGCGGGACGGAAAGCAGCACCCAGGGAAGGGGTCCCGACTTCTGGGGCCGCGGAGCGACAGAGTCATGTCGGCGGACATCAGGGAGCGAGGATCGATCGGGCGTTGCCAGAGGTGTCTCTAGCGTAACCCCAACTCTACCCGCCATCTTGGAGCCTCTGTGGCCTCGGGAAGGGTGCTCTGGGGGGGGCACCTGGGCCTCCAAGGAAGCCTGGAAGCACCTTGGGACAGGGCTTCCTCTGGCCACACCCGAGCTCGACGAGCGAGGCTGGGCAAGCGAGGATCAAAGATCACCAGCGCCGCGAGGATCGTGAACCAAGTGATGACACGATCAAGAATCGAGAAACAAAAAAGACAGAGAGCCAAATGTCGAATTTCGTGACGCGCTGATTCTCCTGGGGCCTCCGGAAGTCTCCGCGGAAGCCTCCTCTCCAGCACGCCGGAAGCCTCGGCGGGCACGTACTTGCACGCGCCAGAAGCCTCCGAGGAAACCTCCAGAGACGACCAGGAAAAAGCATAATGGAAGGCTGAGGATCCTCCTTGTATCTCCCCCTGTTCCTCTTCCCCATCCAGCCCCTTCTCCCTCCCACCCCCGCCTCGCCCACTGTCCTCCCAGCAAGAAGGAATGCCAGGGCGGGGGGGGCGAAGAGGGAAGGACTTAGGGGGGGATGCAGGTGGAGGGGATACAGGAGCGGGGGAGGAGGGGAGGGAGGACAGGGAGAAATGGAGGGCGGGAGGGCCGGGAGAGGAGGGTCAAGGTGTGGAGACAAGCTGGGCGCGCTCGCGCCACATCTGACTTCCTGGCCCCTCCTCCCTTCCAATTGTGCTGAATTTCTCTCTCGCCACCGACGCGTCATAGCGGACCTCTCCCCGCCCCGTGGCCTTTTTGCCCCCCCTCCCCCCTCCCCTCCTCCCCCCCGCACAAGCCCGCCCCCTCCTTTGCTTATTCCGACCGATCGTGTCCCTGCCCCCCCGCCCTGTGCCCACCCTCGCTCATTCCGACCGACCGAACCCCCCTCCTCTCCCTGCCCTCCTCCCCCCCCCCCCTCTCCTTTCCCTCTCCCCACGTTATCCTTCTCCTTCTTCCGACCGACCGTGTTCCCCTCCCCTCTCCCTGTCATGTGTCCCGCCTCGGCTTCTTCCGACCGACCGTGCCTGTCCTGCGCCCTGTCCCCGTCCCGTAGCTCTTTTTGCCCTCCTCCCCACGAGGCCCCCCCCCATGGCTCATTCCGACCAACAGTGCCCCCACCATCCCCTGCCCCCTGTCCTCCGCGTCCCCCCCCCTGGCCTATACCAACTGATCGTGCCCCCTTCTCTCTGCCCGCCCCGTGTCCCCCTGTCTTATTCGGGCCGACCGCGCCCCCCTCCCCTCCCTGCCCTCCGCCCGTCTTCCCTCCCCTTTCCATCCCCCCTCGCCCTCTTTTGCCGTATTCCGACCGTCCGTCCCCCTGGCTTATTCAGACCGACCGTGCCCTCCTCCTCTCCTGTCCTCCGCCCGTCTCCCAGGCCACACCCTAACAGGTATCCCAGCACACGAAGCCAGCACACATCCCAGCACGTATCCCAGCACACGGAGGCAACACACAGCTTTGCACACATCGCAGCTCGCGAAGGCAGCACACGTCCCAGCACACCTTCCAGCACGCATCCCAGTCCAGCGCGCATCCCAGGCACGGTCGGTCGGTCGGTCGAAATAAATGCAACGCGAGATCATACTAGTAGGAATGATGATACGGAAAAGGGGTGCGAGGGGAGGAGGGGGAGGAGAGGGCACTGACGGGGCTGCGACAGATTGGAAATTAAGGAAGCCGTGGCCAAGCAGCCGGCACTCTGTGTGGATTGCCAGGTCGGATCTTTGGATCTGATCGTTGGTGTTCTGTCTCCTGTTTCTGAGGGCCTCAGGGTCGAGGTAGAGCAGAGCCCTCTACAACAAGGCAGGAGGACGGGAGCCCGCAACGACGCCGCATGGTCGCCAGGGGCTCAACGACTTCTGCCGTCCCTCGACTCGAGTTGGAATGGCAACGATCTGCTCCAAATGTCCCAAAACTCCTGATTGATTTCGACCTGCCTGGATCTACCTGCATCTACCTCGCCTTATCTGCATCTACCTTGACCTGTCCGGCCTGACCTCCACGAATCGATTGGCGAAAAGCCGTTTAGCCCTTAGGGACATGGATGAGCAGAGGAATCCGCGACTCCCAAGGGTGTGGTTTGCACAGGGTGTGGGTTGCAACCCGCGCCCTGGGAGGCGGGGGAGGACCAAAGCAGAGATCTCCACCGCGCCCCGACGAGGCCAGACGAGGGCACTGGGTGCCCCCCGCGACCCGACGACGCAGATCGCAACCCGCAGCCCGGCGCAACCACGCCCGCTCTTGTCGCCGAGGGCGGGAGGGCGCCAGGACAAAGGGCGCCTTGGCGGGCGGCAGCCCGCGACGGCGCCGCCTCCGAGGCCCACGGGGCCGCCCGGGGCTACCGCACGGCCACGGCCGCCTCTGCGGCCAGGCCCTGCGGCTCCGTCAGGAAGGGCAGCAGGCCGCCGCCGCCGCCGCTGGGAGGCGCCTGCCCGGCGCCAGCAACCTCCGCCGCCGCCGCCTCGGCCTCGGGGGTGCCGCGCGGCCGCCGGTCCGTCTGTCCGTCCGGCCGAGAGCTCGTCGTTGCCGCCGCCGCCGCCGCCGTCGGACGTTCCGTCCTTGGTTTGCTGCTGGGGCCTGCATCTATAGCCACTACATGGCGGCAGGCACAACTGTCCGCTGATTCTGCCGATCTTCGGATTGCAGCCCTGAGAATGTAGTCTGCGATAACCATAAACACAACACCTATTTTCCGGTCGCATTATTAATAGCGTAGTTTGCTGTGCCCTGATGAAGCAATCGGGCATCTCATAGCAGTGGTATCGCATAGCATTGCACTTCATAGCACTGGTGCCAGTGCCATGGCGCGTGCACTCAAACATTGCCTAGCATACGGACACCAGCATCGGTTGTCATGTAAAATGTAATCGACGCCTTGCATGGCATCATGGTTCCTCTGACTGTGCGGCGATATCACTCAGTTGGACAGACCCCAGGGGAGGAGCAACAATGAAGGATGATGGGAGAAAGAGGGCAGACGGGCGTTGGAAAAACGTCCAGGGCAATCTTGAGGCCACCTTGGGATGTACTGGGCCCGTTTGGCGCGACGAGGAGGACAAACACGAGGAGGGAAGTGGAGGTGAGAATGAAGACGAGGATGGCGATTAGAAAGATGTGGATGCCAGTCTGACGTCGCGCCAGCTTCGGCATGAACGACATGCTGCTCATCCGTGCCCTCCCGCTCGCCCGCTGTCGGCAGAGCTCAAGAAAGGTCCCAGGAGGGACCCAAGAGGGCCCCAGGAGGGCCCATAAAAGGTGGGGAAATGCGGTCGCGTGTTCCCACATCGATTCAAGGTTCCTGGGGAGTTCTTGGAGCCTTTTTGGGGCCCTCTGCAATGATTTCCTCACTTCTTGTCCTCTCGCTCTCCCTCCTCATCTTCCCTCTTGTTTCCAGTGCCGCGCGGTGCTGTGTTTTGCCGTTCGTGTCCGAGGCCGTCCACATATTCTACTACCATGTGCGGACACAGGTCCCAACGCAGGCCCCACCCCGCGGACTAGGCACCGAGGTCGGGGCATGATAGGATTGTCGAGCAGCGGTCGTGTACAGTGACCGAACCCCCATATTGTGCTGTCAAGTGCGGACAACATGTTTTTGGAGCCCGTCGACAGATTGCACTGTCGAAGGTGGACAGGTGTCCCTGGTCCACGGATTGTACCGCCAAGTGCTGACAGATTGCCTGGCCCTGTGCGCACACATCTGTGGACAGGGGGTGCGCCCACAGGACAATTTGCGGACACGCATGTTGTCCGCAGATGGTCCTGGGATCGCGGGGTGCACGCGCGCGGAATACACAGATCGGTGGTGGGACATTCGAATTACCCGCGCCGAATCCACATATCGACGACGGGAATCTTGTCTGCGCGCGCCGACTCCACACTTCGAATTTGTCGACAAAACCCTTTGATTTCCTTGAGCCCCTCAGACCATGCCACCTGGGAGGTCCCCAGGCTCCCAGGAGGCCACGGCCATCTCGGAACCTAGATTTGCGAGGATGTCTCCGGCGAAACGGGCCAAACCACTTCAGGTCAGAGCATCTTGGGCCTAGAGACACGAGGAAGTCTCAGGCGAAACGGGCTGGACCACCGCGGGCCAGGATATATCAAGGCCCAGAATGGCGAAATTGTTTCAAGCGAAACGGGTTGGCCACCTCGCGAGCGGCACCTCCTCCTGCTGCTACACCTTATCCGCCTCCTGCTCATCCGCCTCTTGCTGCTGCTGCTGGTCCTCCTCCCTCTCCTCCCGACTCACAAGGAGAAGGAAGAGGAGAGGAGGAGAGTGAGGGTCCGAGAGAACCGCACAATTGACACTGCTGGCAAATATAAAAAAAAATCGACGAAACTGTTGCCCATGCGCCAGTCTGCCACGTATTCGTGCGAGCTGCGAGGAATCGGGTTGAATGTTTTCGTTCGTTGACCGCGCGCCACGCTTGATCCAGCTGCGCAGCGTCGGAAGCGCGCGCTGTGCAATCAGCGCTGTCATCTGCTGATTGTGGCGAGGTCCAGGGAAGGATTGGGCGCAGGCGCGCCTTTGCATTCCAAAGGTGATGGGTGAGGCCAGCCCTGCGTCGCTGTAGCGTGTGATTGCGGCCGGCTTCACAGGAACACAGTTTTGTTGAATTTGGTTTGCCAGGCGGGCGCGTCGCCACTTGCCGAGCCGCTTGGCCCTCCAGCTTGTCCTCGGGACCAGATCCGCACGTGACATGAATATGCGGACTATGACGGCTGGATATGAAGAGCCCTATAGAAAACATGGCGAACAGACCCACAGAACAATCCAAGTCCGTCCGTCCGTCGTCGGTCCGTCCGTCCTTGGGACGCAACTCATGGAAGCTGTTGGTCGTGCTCATGGCGACCATGGCGCTGTTGGTCGCTACTACTCGCTGTTGTGCGCCATTCAAACGCTGCTCGGCGCTACCAGGCGTTATTGGACGCTATTTAGAGTGAGCGCTATTGGGCGCTATTCGCCAACATACATTCAACCCAGGACGACAGGAGACTTCCGATATTTACTATCTAACGTCCGTCCGTCAGACCGAAAACTCCCGCCGTCGTCGCTGCCGCCGCCGCCGTCGCGGTCGGTACGTTCGTCCGTCCGGCCGGCCCAGCCAAGTCCTAGTGGCCTTGCTGGAGGACCCGCCGCCGTCGCCTCGAACATCTTATGTCGCGATTTGCTCAAAGCGTGACTCGAGCTCTGGAACTCTTCCTGGAGACCAACTTCGGGGAACTACTGACCCAGGTCAGTCCAAGACCGGGTCAGTCGAGCTTTGCAGGATCCGCCAAGATCCTGCAAGATCCTGCGCCCTAAGCCCGGTCAATCCGCCCCTGGCTCTGCAGGATCCTGCAAAATCCAGCGCTCTGGCTGAACCCCGTTTGCATTTTGCGTCGACCCCCCGCCCCTTAAGCCCCGACAGCTTCCCACCCTGACGGTCCCAGGGGGCCGGCGAGGGTCCCCACAGGCCGAAAACTGCCCAAAACCGTCTGTCGTGCTTTCGATGACGTCAGGGGTCGGTCCGTCCGTCGGGACGCTGCCCCAGAGGACCTGCAGGTCCAGCGGGGGTCAAGACGACGACGACGGGTGCGACGGCGACGGCGACGGCGTCGGCGGCGACGACGGCGACGGCGACGGCGTCGACGACGGCATAGACTGCGACGGGGATGACGACGACGACGACGGCGGCGACGACGACGACGACGAACACCACGACGACGACGAAGACGACGACAACGACGCGGCGGCGGCGCGGGCGACGTCGTCGGCGGCCTCGGCGGGCTCGGCTGGCCGCGGCGCCGCACGCTCCACGGCCTCGGCCAGCTCCGGCGACATCCGCGCCGCCACCGCGGCCAGGTCGGCGGGGACGGTCGTGGCCCGTGCTTCCCACCACCGCCACCAGCATGGGCGGGGCATCGCTGGCTTCCAGGATCGAGGGTTTGGGGAGGCGTTGTCGACCCCAACCTGGACCTCCGCGAGGCTTCCCGTCGTCGCGGCTGGATTCCCCTAGAGACTCTGGCCAGAGCGCCATCTAGGAGAGGTCGCATGGAAGAAATGGCCTCCCGGAGAGAAGAGGCCCCGCGTCCCAAAAACTATTCTTTGCTTTAGGGCTCCTGGGGCCCTCCACGGCCCCCCTGGCCATCAGGGAACAGCTCAAGGTGAAGAACTGGTTCTGGGAAAGCCCCAGGGCCTAAGGACCGTCTCCCTCAGGACCCCGTTCCTCCCCGGCGCCCTACCCGGCGGGTTCCTGTCGAGACGTGGACGTTGGCTTCTGACACTGCGAAGATCGTGTATTGTTGAGCGATCTCCGCGTTCCAGCAAAGCAAATCGTTGAAGACTGGCTCAGTTCAGGGCGCCAGTGGCCTTCGACCTTGAGCGTGCGCGCCGGAGTCACCGCCGCCTCATGGCCGTCCGTGGCCTGCCGTACCTAGCGGGCCGTTTGTGGGCCTTCGCCACCACCAGGCGGCGCGCGCACAGGGGTGGCGCGAGTGAGGCGGCCGTCTGAGAAGGCGATGGGGGCTTCTGAGAAGGCAGGGGCCCTCACAGAGGGGCTCAAAGACCTCTTGGAGGCCGGAAGGGCCTCTGTGACGACCCCTGCCTGCTCGGAAGCTCCCCCCGCGCTATTAAAATCTGCCCCTCCTCCCTCGCGTCGCCTCTCTGGTGCGCGCCGCCCAACTGTGCCCAGCGGGCTGTTTGTGGGCTTTCGGAGGCCTTCTCTATGTGGTGGGCTCTTCAACTGCAGGCCTTCGGTGGCCCTCGAGCACCACCAGGGACATCTGCGGACCACCGTTGATGCCTCGGGGGCCTACGGGAGCTCAGAGCGCCAGCGGAGTGATTCTGGTCCCGGCGGTTTCCCTCGATCTCGGCCTTCAGGGGTCGTCGTCGAACCTCGTCCCTTCCCACAGGAAGTTGTTTTGACGTTGTCGCACGTGTTGCGCCGACGCGGCTGGATTCGCCTCGACATCCTGGTCGGAAAGCGCTCCTGGACAGGCGTCGGGGCCGATCATTGGAGACGGAGTCGGAACCGTTTTTGCGTTCCCGTTTTGCCCCGTGCCTGCCCCGGACCGATCCAACACTAATGGGAAAAATGAGGTCGAGAGCTTCAGCAATGACGTACACGGAGTTGCGATGTGTTCACGAAGTCGGACAGAATAGGTAAGGTCTGACGGCCTTCGTGCGTCGAAGCATTCAGCGCGCGCTGGACTCAGTTGGGCGCTGACGTCTTAGGAATCTGACAGGCAATCGGCGTCATGCTTGTGGCGGTGGCAGGTGGAGAACTGGGCCACGCGATGAAAAAAGCGGAAAGGCGGGCGTGTTGTCGGCCTCCCACACGCCTCTCGAAGAGAAGCTCCTCCAGCTCCGTGTGCCCGGCGAAGGCGGCCAGCTCCTCCGCGAGGTTGCCCAGCGCGTCCTCTGGACGCCCTTGCCCTCCCCCCTGTGCCCAAGTCCTCCACCTCTCACCCCCCACTACTCCTCCTCCGCCTCCTCCTCGGTCTCCTCCTCGTCCTCGTCCGCATCCTCCTCTCAAGCCCTCATCCTGTTCCTTACAACCCTCCTCCTGCTCCTAAGCCGCAGCATCCTCCTGTTCATCCTCCTGCTTCTCCTACTCCCACCCCTTGGCACTGTCAAATCCGCAATCCAGCACAACTATTCCTCGTCCTCGTCTTTGAAGTCGTCCTCGCCCTCCTACTCCTCCTCCAATCCGTTTACTCCTCCTTCCTGCCCCCATCCACCTCTCGATCATCCCCGTCCCTGTTCCCCTCTTTTCCTCTCTAACCTCTCCTCCCTAATCCCTCGTCCTCCTCATCTTCATCCCACCTCGTCCATCTCGCAAACGAGGATGCAAAGGAGGGGGTAAGAGGAAAGAGAGAGAGAGAGAGAAGAAATCAGACAGAACGGAGACGCGGGAGGAAAGGGGGGCGGAGGGAGGGGCGGGAGTGGAGGGGAGGGAAGGGGGAGGATGTAGAGGGAGGGGAGGCGAGGGGACGACGGCGGACACAAATGTTTGGGCGAAGTGTGAGGGAAGGGCAAGGACCTCCGTACACCTTCTCCCCTCCCTGTCCCTCCCCCCCTCCTCCGCAAATCGCAAATCGCAGCAACAGGTCAAGACGAACACTAAAGCAAGCAAACATGAGCACAGCTCAAATCCGGCCAAAGCTCCTTCTGCTCCCTCCCCCTGCTTCTCCTCACCCTCCTCCTGCTCTTCGCCCTCGTCACAACCACACTCCCCACAAAACCTGGGGACATCTGGGGTACCATCCTGGCCCGTCTTCTGAGCCGCGCCCGACCGTGGAGACGAAGTGACCACCACCAAGTGTCTAGAACGAGATGAGGATGATGAGTAGGAGGATCTCACTCTCTCACTCTCTCGATAGCTCTCTCTCTCTCTCTCACTCTCACTCCCCCATTATCTTCGTATTTGTTTGTGGTTTCTCTCTCTCTCTCTCTCCCTCCCCACCCCGATAACCATCCCTCCATCCCTCTCTCTCTCTCTCTATCTCTCTCTTTCTCGCCCTCTCTCCCGCAATGTATACATATATATATATATATATATATATATACCTATACGACCACCCTTCGGGTGATAAGGAGGTTGTAGGGGGGAGGAGAAGGGGGGAACCAACATTTGACTCAATCGATCTCACTATCGATCTCACTCAATAGGACACCACGGAACACCACAGGACACTTGTCGTTCTCACTATCGATCTATCGGTCTCACTCAACGGGACACCACGGGTCACCAGGGGCCACCACGGGACACCGAGGCACACCTCTCGATCTCACGATCGGTCCCACTATCGATCTCACTTAACGTGACACCATAAGACACCACGGAACACCACGGGACACTACGGGGCACCTCGGGACACCACATCGATCTCACTATCGATCTCACTATCGATCTCACTATCGATCTCACTCAACGGGTCACAACGGAAAACCACGGGACACCACGGGACACCTGTCGATCTCACGATCGATCTCACTATCGGTCTCACTCAACGGGACACCATAGGACACCACGGGGCACCTCAGGACACCACATCGATCTCAATATCGATCTCACTATCGATCTCACTATCGATCTCACTCGACGGGACACCACGGGACACCACGGGACACCACGGGACACCTGTCGATCTCACTATCGATCTCACTATCGATCTCACTCAATAGGACACCACGGGACACCTCGGGACACCACATCGATCTCACTATCGATCTCACTATCGGTCTCACTCAACGGGACACCACGGGACACCAGGGGCCACCACGGGACACAATGGGACACCACGGGACACCTCTCGATCTCACTATCGGTCTCACTATCGATCTCACTCAATAGGACACCACGGGACACCACGGGGCACCACATCGATCTCACTCAATAGGACACCACGGGACACCACGGGGCACCACATCGATCTCACTATCGATCTCACTATCGGTCTCACTCAACGGGACACCACGGGACACCAGGGGCCACCACGGGACACCACGGGACACCGCGGGACACCTCTCGATCTTACTATCGGTCTCACTATCGATCTCACTCAACGGGACACCATAAGACACCACGGGGCACCACATCGATCTCACTATCGATCTCACTATCGGTCTCACTCAACGGGACACCACGGGACACCAGGGGACACCACGGGACACCACGGGACACCGCGGGAGACCTCTCGATCTCACTATCGGTCTCACTATCGATCTCACTCAACGGGACACCATAAGACACCACGGGGCACCACATCGATCTCACTATCGATCTCACTATCGATCTCACTCAACGGGACACCACGGGGCACCAGGGGCCACCACGGGACACCACGGGACACCGCGGGAGACCTCTCGATCTTACTATCGGTCTCACTATCGATCTCACTCAATAGGACACCACGGGACACCACGGATCACTACTACGGGAAACCACGGGACACCGCCCGGCCCAACTGGGACACCTCCCGGCCACTGGCGGACGGGAAACAGACGTTCGCTCCTACTGACACCCAGGACACCCAGGACACCGCCCGGCCCGACTGGGACACCTCCCAGCCACCGGCGGACGGGGAACGGACTTTCGCTCCTACTTCGGCCTAGCTACAGGAGGATCACGCGCAGCTTCGCCTCGCCCGCACGCACGACACGAACACGAAACCGAAACCGATTTCCCGGTCTGCGATCTCACCCCCCAACCTCCGATACACACATATATGTGTGTATATTGATATACACACCTGCTGTCTATAATGTAAGATGTCGGTGTAAATGTGTGAGTACATCGCAATCCCTATCCGTGTGCATCATGTATACATACATAGCAGAGTAAGGGGCCGAACGGTCATCCACTGTCCATGGGCGCGTGGCTGAAATACGGCTCCGCGGTGCGGTTTGGTGTTATTGTTGGTGTTGTTGTAACGGTGATCGTTGTTTGTCGTCTGTTGCCGTCGTCCCGCCCGCGACCCGACCCGCGACCCACCCGCGACCCACCCGCGACTCACCCACATTGCGTTATCGAAAAAATATCGCTGGCTGCGGGCTCGCTGAATACGGTGTGACAGGTAGGCACCTGCGGCGGGCTTCTTCAAAGCTTCGCAGACTGCCACCGCCCCCGCTGCCTCCTCACTCGTATCCGCAACTGCGGGGTGCGACGTTTACGCATACATACCTACATATATATATACATCGATATATGTATATGTATATGGATATGTATATGTTAATGTATGGTTATATGTGTGTACGTGTGTAAATGCAGATGTATGTGTAACTGTATACGTATATGTATATGTAGGTGTAGGTGTATACGTAAGTGATTGTGTATATGTATGTTATATGTATATGTAAATGTATATGGATCACCTATGTATACGTATATGCAAATGTGTATGTGTAGGCATATGTGCATGAATGTGTATATGTATATGTATATGTATATGTGTATGCAAATGTACATGAGTATGTATGCATACGTATGTATGCATGTGCGTATGTGTGTGCATATATGCATGCGTGTATGTATGTGTGTATGTATGTTTGTATGTATGTGTGCATGTATGTATGTATGGTATGCATGTATGGATGGATGCATGGATGGATGGATGCGTGTGTGTGTGTGTGTTTAGAATTACCCGCCACCGTGCCGCAAGGCGCGGGGAGAGTTTCCCCATGCTATCATGCGGTCTCTGTCCTGAGCCCGATGTTCTGATATTCCAGGGGCTGGGGCCTCACATTCTCGGACGTGTCGGACTCGAATTCGCAGAGTGGCGCTGTGCTACTGTGCCTCAAAGCATACGCCCTCGCTGCTCCATCCCCCATTCGCAGAGCGCTGCCCTTTTGCAGATTTACCTCCAAAGCAAGGTTCCCCATTCTGCTCTGGCTCTGATTCGCAGAGCGCCGCTCTGCAAATTTGACTAAGAGCATGCGTCCTCGCTGCTCATGCTTTATTCGCCCGAGGGCCCCAGAACGGCCAAGAGGGCCCCAAGAAACGCCCAACAGGTTCCGAGAGGCATCCAAGACGGCCCAATAGTGCTCCAAGATGCCCAAGAAGGCCCCAGGACGGCACAAGAGGCCTCACAGAAGCCCAAGAGGGTTCCAAGAGGACCTCCAAGAAGGCCCCAAGATGCAAACATCACTTATGTTCCGTGTGTGTGTGTGTGTTTGTGTGTTTGTGTGTTTGTGTGTTTGTGTGTTTGTGTGTGTGTGCGTGCGTGCGTGCGTGCGTGCGTGCGTGCGTGCGTGCGTGCGTGCGTGCGTGTGTGTGTGTGCGTGCGTGCGTGCGTGCGTGCGTGCGTGGGTGTGTGTGTGTGTGCGTCGCTCGTCAAGGAGACCGCGTCCGTGGTCGAACACAGCCCTGTACTTGTGACGGGCCACTAGGGCCGAGGGCTCTTGGGGCCACTCCAGGCTCCAGAGCACAGCGCACGGTCCCCAGACCGCGCGCAAGGGCAGGCCGAGCCTGCTGGGCAACGCTAGAGACCCAGAAGGGGGCCAGAGCGCAGAGGCGGTCGCCAGACCGCACCAAGAAAACAGGCGCAGCCTGCAGGGCCACGCCAGAGACCAGACAGGTCCTGGGGCCTAGCCCCGGCCAGGTGCGAGGGGGGCCCCCGTCACGGGGCGGAGCTTCGCCACCAGGCGGTCACGGCGCTTAGCCCGTTCCCGCTCCGCGGGGTTGGCACGCAGTGCAGGTGCGGGGAGGGCGCCAAGGCAGGGTGCCCCCAAAAGCCTCCCCTGCCGCTTGGCATACGCGCCACATCTCTGACATCGTGTCCAAGCACACTCAAGACCTCCTCGTCGCGCCCCCCCCGACCACCCGCCCCCACGGCGATAGCAGCAGCGGCGGCAGCGCGGGAGCCCTGGCCCTGCATCCGCAGGGCAGCGGGGGCAGCGGCCGCAGGCTGCGCC